TCCAAAGAGGTGGCCTGGAAGGATACATCTACCTCTCTTAGCTGTATCCTGGCTGCCAAGAGAAAAACAGTTTTTCCTCCACCATGCCTCTCTGTCATGCTGTCCTGCCTTGGAGTCAGTTGACTACGGACTGAAATGTGACCCAAAATAAACCTCTCTGCCTTTAAGTTGTGGGTATCAAGTATTTTGTCCTAACAACAAGAAGAGTGATTTCAACAGGCAACGAAATATTTATTGCTCTATTCAACATTTTTATTAGCCCCTTGGGGGGAAAAAGTCATTTGGATAAAGCAAGTTTAACAACTATACACAGAAAAAGGATCAAGGGCTGGGTGCAGCGGCACATGACTGTAATCCCAGCTACTCAGGAAGCTGAAGCAGAAGGACTGCAGGTTCAGTCCACTCCAAGCAACTTAGCAAAACACTGTCTCAAAATAAAATAAAAAGAAGGAAAGAGAGAGAGAGAGAGAAGGAGGGAGGGAGGGAGAGCAGACAGACAGATGGGGTGTATAGCTCAGTGGCAGAGCACCCCTGGGTTCAATTCTATCACATACACGTCAAAAAAAAAAAAGATAATATGTGAGATCACGAAGTCAAACTTCAAAAACACTTGCCAAGTTCTACTGACGAGCCAAAATGCAGTGGCTAAAATGTCATGAAATGTTTAAATATAGAGATCTTTAAAAATAAAACTTAGGCAACCCATTCGGGACCCCTTCTATCTCTCAGCAGCTATTCCTATTCCCCAGTAAACCTTTCCTACTCATAACCTCCTTTGTTCTTTGGAATACATTCTTCTATTTCAGGGTACATGAACTTGTCATATCTGACATCTAGCAGATTAGGGTTATATTTCTCCTATATCACTTTGGAGGTCCCACCATGACCTTTGGAAAGAGGTACAAATTTGCTTGTGTTTCATGGCACTACCAATATTTTCACTGGATTATGGATTTTGACTCATTTAGGTAACCAGAAATTGTCATCTTTTGTCAGTTGTTTATGCCTTCTTGTCTTGCTAAAATGATGATAGATTTAAGGGAAGATTATGATGTTTCTTTGTTTCTTTGATGGGACATTTTATTTTTGCCAGAAGTGCCTTGTATTCCTATTTTCTACATGCTTCATTTAGACTTATTAGTTGCTCAGTTTACTTGTATTCCTTTCTTGACTTGTTCGGCAGTTACAAAATGGCTTGTTGTCTTATTTAGATAGCAATGCTGGGGAAAGGTAATGTTGGAGCTCCCTGGTGGACTTTAAAACTTTAACCAAAATGTGAATTTGTAAATTTCTATGAAATACATCATAAAATCTAATTTTTGTAGGTACTAAAACAGCCTCTTATAAATTCGAGACTCAGTTAATTACAAGACAATTAGCATGGCTGCCATTCTTAAGTCTTGGAGGACAGAATCCACTGGAAAAGTCTAGCTTGCTTCCCCCTCTACACTCATGGAGGACAATGTCAAGCCTGCATTGCCTTGGTTTCCTTTACAGTTTGATTCTCCACTGGTGAGGAGACCATCTTGGTTCTTGAGATTCCTTACTTCTGCCTTTCAAGGCTGAGGGTGATGGCCCATGGCAGACTGTCTCATTAACTCAACATGAGAGTATGAGGAAAAAAGTTTCTTTTTACTAATCTCTTATTCCAATCTTTTCCCATCACTTTATACTTCCCCCTTTTTTTTGGACACATGTTTTGGACACATGTTCTGTGGGTGAAAAAGTTTTAGTCAGCCTTTCTCTCCTTTCCAACAAGTGAAACTCTCAAGTTGAGTCCATAGAAAATGAATGTTGGTCTATAACAATGCCAAAGACAAAATCATTTTAGATAAGGAACACAAACCCCCATCCCCAAAGAAGATGAGACTTCGAAATTTTGCTCATCTAGGAGGAAACACATTAAGGATAAAGTCCCCTACCAGTGTCCTGAGTGCAATTTCTCATCCAACAGGTGTGGGAAACTGAATTTGAGACCCAGTGGAAAGAAGAGACCTCTGGGTGACACCAGAGGGAGCTATTTCCATAAGCACAACACTGTGGGTTCCAAAACCTTCTCAAGGCAAGATGTGTAAACTGCTCTTTAACTTGTCTTTCACAACTGAAGGCATAAACACAATCCACCTGATGCCATAGCTCCTCTCTTATGGCTAGCTTAGATCATGTCCCAAGCCATGCAGATACAACTGGTATATCGGGTGATAGCTGACACTATTCATGGAACTTGGCAATGGTTTACCCAACAGTTTATTTTTCTCCCCTTACTTTCTCATTCCCACACTCTCCTGGCTCTTTCCTTCCCAGGTATAATTCTCTTCATTTATGTGTGTAGGGGAGAGAAGAAACTGGCATATGTACTTCTGCTAATGTGTAAGTATGGACAATGAGTACAGGCTTTCAAGATACATTCTGAGTAAAACCTAACTTTGTCTTGCTTAGAGGGGCCTGGGTATTTAGGTAGATGGCACAAAAATGACTAAGAGTTCTTTGTCCTAGGGCCTGAGGGTAGGATTCTTCTGGGCCATTACATGACTGTATCTATCCCTGGAGGTGGTAGATGTCTTTCTCAGGCTGGGATTTTAGAACTACTCCATTGAGTCTTAAAATAAAATTAGAAAGTAAGACCTAAACAATACAGTTCGAACTTTGATTCTCTCTCATTCTCTTTCAAAGGGTTAAAAAGCAGTCATTCATGTTCTGATTGGTGGTTTAATTTTCTGCTTGGCAATGCAGCTGAAGTCAACTGTAGCTTTTGTCTCTGGAAACATATTTTGCTGAGGAGTAGAGGCCCACTCTGGGAAGGCTCTTGATCTTGATTGTCTTTTTGCCCTTGAAATGGTTATGATTTAGTACTTGTGCCATAATAGTCACTCTTCTGTCCCTGCTCCACTACCTTGCCCCTGAGAAATAATGAAATTTAAAACAGTGCTTTGTTCAAGACAACTCTGTTAAGTTTTCAGAATGGTTAGTTTCTCAATCCTTGGGACCTTTCCAGAGTAAAGCTGACCTTCATTTATTCTAAAGACACGTTAGGTAGAACTAATGAAGACATGGAATAGAAAAAGACTTTGTGAACAAAACCTCAGTTGCACAAAGTAACTAAGCACAAAGAATCAACTGGGATCTAATCTTATTAAAAAGCTTCTAAACAGCAACAGAAATCACCAATTCAGTGAAGAGACAACCCACAATGTAGGAAAAAAATTCTACCAGCTGTTCTTCAGACAAAGGTCTACTATCTAGAATATATAATGAAAATAATCAGACCCGCCCAAATTTAAAGACCCATTACAAAAATGGGCATCTGAAATGAACAGACATTTCTCTGACAGAGGAAGAAGCAGCAAATAAACATATAAATGTTCAACATCACTGGTCATTTGAGACACGCAAATGAAAACAATGCTGAGATTCCACCTCACTCCAGATAGACCAGCTGCTATCAAGAAATCAACTAATAACAAATGCTGGTGGGGCTTTGAGGAAAAAAATACTCTCCTGCACCGTTGGTGGGAGCGTAGACTGGTACAATCACTGGGGAAATCAGTATGGAGATCCCTCAAACATTAGAAGTCCCATGTGACCCAGCTATTCCCCTACTGGGTATCCTTCCAAAAGAATTAAAAGCATCATAGAACAGCACTATATGTGCACCCATGTTAATAGCGGCACAGTTTGCAATAGCTAAATCTTGGAAATAGCCTAAATCCCCATCCACTGGTGACTGGATAAAGATTTTTGTATTAAATGGAGTACTATTCAGCCATAAAGAATGATAAACTAGAGACATTTACAGCTAAATGGATGCACACTAAAGTCATACTCTTAAGTGCAATAAATAAGACACAAGTGTAAATACTGAACTGTTTCTCTAGTGTGAAAAACTGAAGGTATATATAAGGACCAAAATGTACGGTAATGTGAAATAGGAAAAAAAGGTTCAAAGGGGAAAAGGAAGTAGGGAAGGGGATAGAAGAAAGGAAAGTAGGAAAAGAAAAAAATCTAGAAAAGGAGGAAAAAATTGAAACAAAGGTTTTGCAAATACAGAAGCATGAAGGGGTAGAGGGATGGAAAGGAGGGAAGGGGAATGGATAATTTTTTAAAAACATGATCTAGACTATATCCTCAAACACTCAAAGAATAAACACAATGTTTTAGTCCAAATGTATCAGCCTTTCTGCTCTTAAGCAGAACTGTAAATTAATTCCTTTCATCTCCCCCTCCCCTCATGAGTGCTGCACTACAAGGAGACTGACTGGTTTTCACAGCACAGGTATAAGAAGTTCACTGATAGAACAAAAAACATTCTTAGGGCCCCTTATGAGTTTAATAACAGTTTTAAACAGAAACAGGTATTAAGGGATAGCCATAGCACCAGTCCCCAGAGGACTGCCTTTCTCTTGTCATAACTTCTCTCTAGAACATCTTGATATGCCAGCCACCATTCTCAGAGACAGGATAACTGAAGTTCTAAAAAAAGAAAGCCGATAGTTAAGTATGATCCAAGGATCACAGGATCACAAGAAAAGGGGACCAGGTGAACAGTAAGAACTAACCTGGTTCTGGCCACTTCCCTGAATCTCCAGTTCACCACTGCTAGAACTGGACAGGGTTAAATTCTAGGGGACACCTTCAAATGGGCATAGAGCAAAAGGGATAGACAGGGACACCTCTCCCCTTGGTTCTTTCAAAACAGGAAGAAACTGTCATACGTAGACATCTGCAGCAGGGTCGCGGCCTTGACAGGCCATCTTCCCCCACCTTTTGGAATATATACTTAGCTCCGAGGAGTGCTGCTCAGTCTCTTTCTACACCCAAATCTGGTCTGAACACAGCACACACACATACACCCCATTACTTTTAACAGTCTGTCTCTTTAGAGGGGACTTTAACATGTGGCTATCAAAACAGCAGCTTTGGCTTTCAGCTGTGGCTAACAAACAACCATAGCCATCAAAACAATGAATGAGAAGCCCATATAGGTGGCTATTTCACTCAAGACAAATCATCAGCCTAGGATCCTTCTTAAAAATAGTCCTTACTTTCACATGTATTGTCAGGCCCAAAGGCCTCTTCCATCTTTGTCAAGGGGAGTGCTAACCTTCCCTCCTTTCATACACTACTTTCACACGTAAAAGGTTTTTTTTTTCTCTTCTGACTCATTACTATAGATCTCTGTTAAATGATGATCTATAAGAAAAGTTCCGACTAGTCTATAATTACACACCTAAAAACTATAAAAGGGTTATTGTAATTCAATTTGGCCAAATACATCTGAGAGTGCACTCTGATTTAAATGAAATCATCTTGTTTATGTTTGTTCATCTGTTTAATGTGTTAATAACCAGTTAAAGCACCTAGAGCTGCTTCACTTAAGAAAAATATTTTTTTGAGCTCAACTATTTATTTTTATTTTTTGGTTCTGTTTTGAGATTTCCATGGAAAGATCACCATTTATATAGGTTTTCAGGATAGCCAAACTTATTTAAAACATTAACAGATGATAGTCTCAATGCTTACATCAGACTTAAAAATAAAAGCCTTAAAGTTTGATAGCATAAAAGTTATAAATGATTGGGTTGCTGTATCTATTTCTATGTTTTCAGATATATGTTCTATTTTAGTTGGTATATTGATAAATAGACACTCATGATATGGCCCAAATACCTTTGCTCATAGGGTTAACAGTGAGTTAGCAATATAAAAATGAAGCTATATTTAAAGAAGGTAACATTTTCATCCAGCTTGTTAGCTATTTGAGATATCAAAAGATTGGCTTTATAAATACAATGTCTATTGTTGTCTGTCCACAATAATTTAAGAGTTTTTCTTTGGTTAAAGATAATATGTATAGCTTAAAGTGTTTAAATGTTATGATTTGGTTCTCATGAGTCATCGGCAATTGTTAAGACACATTTAAGTTGGCTATAATTAAAGGGTTAAACTTTCTATGTCTAAAGCAATAAGGTTTTCTGAATGTACTGAAATGCTCTTGGTTAACTTATAAAACTAGACTTAAAAGCAAAAAGTTCTGTATTTTACTAAAATAAGTTTCTCATGTTCTCATTGATAGGCTTTTGGTTACTAAAAAATAAGCTTTAAGAGTTAAAGAGAATTTGAATGTCAACCTGTAAAACATTTTCAATAAGCAGTTCATGATTGGTTAAATAAATATTACCTTAGTTTATAACATAACATATTCTTGGATATATACATATGTATACATCTAAAAACAAGTAATGTTATGAATCTAAGCTTTAAAGTAAAGTCTATAGAGTTACAGATATGTAAGATTAATACATGAAAGCAACTAGTAGGTGCTCTCTTTTATACAATATATGTTTAGATGTTAAATATATAAAATGATCAAAATTGACATCTCTTTAAACCTGGTCCTGACATTTAAACTTGATCTACATCTACTGGTTTTGACTAAACAAACATTTTATTACTGTATAAATGAGACACATTTGTATACTGGGCAAAAAGTCTATCTGTGGTTATTATCACTGTTTCCTAAACTTATCAGAGCTGTAAAAATGTCCCAAATTCTTTTCAATATATTTACACCTTATAAAACCTGTTGAAGGAATCTACAATGTGGCTTAAGAGTAAAAACTAAGTATATGTAAAGATTTCTATATAGCTGTGATACCAATTATTGTTAATCTCATAGTATATTAAATGGTACATCTGTGTTTCCCAAGCATAACATGCCTTCAAAGGTGCAAAACTAAAAAACAGACTTTCCTATCGATGACTTCCAAGTTAAAGTTTTTATATGGTGGTAAACTTCTTAGGCTCAAACAATCCAGCCTGAGTCAGCCAGCTAGACAATGCACATATGTTTTCAGGCTTGTGCTTGTGTTATTGTTATGTAACTGTGTTATAACAATTAAATGTACCTAAACATTGTGCATTCTAGACAATGTCACTCTAATGATTAGAGATTAGACATTAATAATCCGTAAAGTACATCTATAAACAAGTACATTCTACTTAAATATTACTCTGATGACAAAAAATGCTTTAAAAGATAACAAATTGGGCAAAAGTTTGGGTCACATAATATCTTATAATTAGATAAAGGTAACTGATTAAAAAGCTATTCTATACTAAGATGGACATTTAAATGTGTTTCAGAGATAATAATATCATGATTGTCATGCTAAAATGCTATAGGGCCCTTGATCTCAAGCTTTCTCTGTAAAATTTTATAATTGTTATCTGTTAATATTCTGCAGGGATTCAACTTCTAAGACAATCATGATTGGTACAGTTCATTGGTGATACTATACATTTTAAGGTGTTCAATATCTACATAAGACCATAAACTTAAGCCTACTGTTCTCACTATAATATTGATATAACCTATCTTCTCTTCTGGGAATTCAACCACTGAGGTTTTGAGACCAAAACTAGAAAGATTACTGAGCTAAGAGGACAGCCAATACTTTGGCCATGGCCCTCCAAGGTCAACAAGGACATAAGGGGAACTTTTCTACAAAGTCCTGAAACTTTGGTGAGTCACCCAACCTCCTGAGAAGGGACATTGTTGGACCCCAGAGAACAGGAGTCAACCAATGCAGTGTGCCAAAAAGGAGGATCACCAAAGAGGGAAAAGTCTCCCAGACTTTCACAGAAATCTATATGGTCAAGCAAGACCATGACTCATCCTGGTGGCTGACACTGACAGAGAAGCTCTGCACATAGTTCCAAAAGTAATGCCTGCAGAGACTTAACTGACCTCGATATATAACAAGAGGTTAATTTTGATTAACATAGGTCATACTTTAACTTGGTCTTAAACACCCAGCAGAAAAGTATAACCAAAAGTTATATAAAAATACCATAGTGGGCCAGGGATTTATCTCAGTGATTCCACTGCCTGCCTTGCAAGCACAAGGTCACAAGTTTGATCCCTGGTACCAAAAAAAAACAAAAAACAAAACCAAAACAAAACAAAACAGTAATAAAAGCTAGATAAAGAAGAGAGCGCCAATCACTGACCTGTGCTGGTAGTTTCCAGATACACCTGTTGCTGATCACTGTTATGATTCAATGAGGCTAGAAAACTACAGTGGAAGTTATAAAAGCTCAGCAAGAATCTTTAAATTCCTTAGCTAAAATTGTCCCTAAAAACCTCCAAACTCTCCATCTTCTTATAGCTAAAACTAGAGGGACTTGTGACAAAGAGGCTCTTTCACCCAATCTGCCTTTCCATTTTAGTGCTCATGCTTTGGTTGTACATACTTTAATCTCTTGGAAATTTTTATTTTTTCTCACATAGAGGCTGTCAAACTCCAAGTGATCACACAGATAGAACCAACGACAAATGTGCCAAACTCCTTTTACCAGGATCCACTAGATCGACCTTGCAAGGAAATTCAGAACTGCTAAACCCCAACATGTCTTCTGTCCAAGGCCCCTGGGATTAGCTCCCTTGGAGAAGGCTCCTAACTGCAGTCTCCCCTACACCGACCCTTTTCAGCTCAAAGCAGCTAGATTGAAACTTTGCCCATTCTCCCCTAACCGCAGTTTAGAATACTTCTTCGGTGCCACCTGTCTTGAAAGCACAAGGTCCTGAGTTTGATCCCCAGTACCAAAAGAAAAAAAAAACAGAAAGAATACTTCTTCAGGGGAATATTATAGGCAGCTATGTTAGATAAAAATTAATATACAACCAGAAAGGCACTGGGCTCTCCAGAAAGTCAGAGAAAGGTGCACACTGAATTGTGGCTGGAGGCACATCTGAAGGCAAGGCCTCAAGATAAAGTCACAATGGCCAGACTTACATATTTCCCTGAAGGATAAATGGAAACTTGATATTATACTGTAATCAGTACCACCCAGTCTATTTAGTCCAGATATACATCAGACACTTGGGTGGGTAACCAGAAAGCCTGGGCCCATCTGTTCCCCCAAAAGTTCCTCTTTTAAAAGTCATAGATAAGCCAAGGTTAATGATGTCATTCATGACATCATTACATGCCTGATTTCCTACCGGATCAGTATTAGCTAAGAGGCTATACCTGTAATCTTATCAGTTGTACTAGTTTGACCCCTTGTTATCTACCTTGTGATTTTTGCCCTGTAAAACATTCTGAGAAATGACCTCAGTACCAACTCACTTAGGACCCTTCCTCTCTCTCAGGAGCTATTCCTACTTCCCAATAAACCTTTCCTACTCTTAAAAAAATGAAAATAAAACTTAAAATTTAACATCTATGTTTAGTATTAATCATTAACCTAGGGATGGAGGAAATATAATTTGACTTCAGTTCATATGAAATAAAACCTAGAGTTTAGCTGCTATAAATTCAGTATGAGCAATTAGTTCGAAATGGCAGCTCAAAAGTCTCCAAAACTCACACTTAAAGCCATATTAACAAAAATGTCCAATTCAATGCTACAAACACACATATAAAGCCTCCTACATGCCTGGTACAGAGTTATAACTGCCAAAAAATATAATAAATACGGTATAATCTACTTTTAAGAGTTTACAACCTAGGGGCCAGGGATTGAGCTCAGCGATGGTGCTACACCTGCCTTGGAAGCACAAGGTCCTGAGTTCAATCCCCAGTACAAAAAAAAAAAAGAGTTTACAACCTACAGAAATGGTTTTTAATGATGTGTTGCAAAAATCACCTGAATGAGTCACCATCAATACTGTAATAAAACAAAAATGAATAATCAGTGTACACTTTACAAAGTACACAGTAAGACTAAGTACTACGTAACAATCTTACCTTTTTCTTAATGCATACATATCTGTGTGTGTATATAAACATTGATACATAATAGCATTTTAAATGTTTCTTATAGTTCATAATCAAAAACTAGAAAAACATTAGTTTAATGGCAGAGAATAAACTAAATATACCACTATAAGGTACAAATAACAATAAAATTATTAATGGAGTAAAATATACATGATTAGAAAGAGAGAGGGTTATGGTCAAGGATCTAGAAAAAGATTTACAAAGATAGTAATATATAAGAGAAAACAGGAAATCACTCAAGAAATAAAGATATGCAAAACAGGCTTTCCATGTAGAAAGAATAATATGTGCAAAGAGAATGCAGCAAAGAATCATTTAAACTAGGCACAGAAGCACAT